GACTAGTCCACCAATCAGCCCCTTTTCCTTGGCCCAGCCTATGATTACTGTCAACATGTCCGCCACAATATTAAACAGTATTGGGGACATTGGGTCACCCTGCCTCAGGCCTTTATGCGTTTGAAAATAATGGCCAATATCATCATTAACCTTTATTCCAACACTGCCTTTCTGGACAAAAGAATCCACCTAATTCGTCTAGGACTCATTGAAACCTTTCATGCGCATAGCTTGCTGTAAAAAAGGCCACTTGACCTTATCGTACGCCTTCTCAAAATCCACTTTAAATATCACTCCATCGAGTTTCTTCGAGTGGATTTCATGTAAGGTTTCATGTAAGACAACTACCCCTTCTAGTATGTGTCTTCCAGGCATAAAGGCAGTTTGACTTGGTTGCACCACCGAGTGTGCCACCTTTGTCAGTCTGTTGGTGGCCACTTTCGTAAAGATTTTGAAACTGACATTCAATAAACATATGGGTCTGAATTGTTCGATGCGGATAGCCTCCTCCTTTTTAGGTAGAAGAGTGATCGTGCCAAAATTCAAATGAAACAGTTGAAGATGCCCATTAAAAAGATCATGAAACATAGGCATAAGATCATCTTTCACAATATGCCAACATTTCTTATAAAATTCTGCCGGGAACCCATCTGGTCCCGGTGCCTTGTTTGGTTTCATTTGATCTATCGCCTCGAACACCTCCTTCTCAGTGAAAGGAGCAGACAGGATCTCATTCTCCTCTAACTGCAACTGAGGGATATCTGCCCGTACACTCTCATCTAGAGTCACGGTGTTATCTTTCGGAGGACCAAACAACTGCTTGTAATAGTTGGAGATATAAAGCTTCAAATTCTCGTGTCCAACAACCGTTTCCTCATCATGTTCTAGCTGAATGATTGTTTTCCTCCTATGCTTGCCATTCGCAATCATATGAAAAAATTATGTATTGTCATCCCCTTTTACCATCTTAAGAACTTTGGCACGCAATGCCCACTTCATTTCTTCTTCTCTAAGTAACGAATGTAATTCGGCCTCGGCTTCCGACTTGCAAGCTTGCTCAGTCGGGTCCAGCAAATTCGTTTCCGCCCGTATATCTAGCGTCTGAATTAACTGGAGCAGCCTCTCCTTCTCTTTTTTTCCTCCTGAATTAACTGGAGCACGCAATGCCCGACCGTTAGTTGGCCGTTACTTGGCGACGATGAGCGTATTCAGGACCTCCATGACGGTGACAAGAACATTGGGGGCACTGAATCGACCAACACAAACGAACAAAATGGAAAAGGATGGCTCACATTCTGTGGATATTGGTTCAAGGGTTGACATGTTTTCTCCGGTGGCCATCCCCATCAAGGAAAGATTCTCTCCTACTACCAGGTCGTACCTTTCTCCGGAGGTTGTTAGCCAATGGAACATGGCTGCCATCTTACCGCGGTGATGAAATGAACATGGACCCCAGCCTGTTCTTTTCCACCCAAACAGGATTGCGCTTCTTCTATTTTATGTTAATACCGCGGTGCTTGCTTTCTTTTCATGTATCCAGCCTCGCTAACGAGTTAGCACAGATGAACAAGGGCTGTCTAATTCAAAACTTCGGTTTACCAACAGATGAATGAAACTATTTTTCCTTTCACTACTACATACATATGCAGGCGTTAGCACAATAAAATTCACAACTCCATGATTTTGTTTATGCCATAACTGCTCTCTGCTTGATGAGTTTGGAGCACAGTAATGTTTCACCAGTTTCAAAATCTTAAAGAAATATGGTTTAGTTTGGCATAAATTATGTGTTAGCGACTACCATCAAATGGGGATATAAGTGCAGAACTATCTACTCAAGAATAAGGGAAGAGTTTCGTACAAAAAATGAATAGGAGAAGAAGAAGAAGAAGAAGTGAAAGATAAAGCTATCATGAAGAGAAAATATCTTTTGGAACCTGTTCTTGCCATCCTCCCCTTCCCGGAACTTCAGGAACTCCAGGAACTTCTTAGGTTGCATCGAAGGTGGAAGAAGCAACAGCATAATATGATCGAGGTAACCTAAGAAGTTCCTGGTGTGCTATTATGATCGAGGTAATCATCAACTCCAGGAACTCGAAAAGGAACCCAATGAAATGAATCGAATGGAGAATAGCACACCAGTTCGCATGCCACTCTTACCCTGATTAACTCGATCATAAGCGCTGTGCAAAGATCGACTTGCCCCTGCACAAACATCAAATTAGGATAGTTAACAGAAAGCACCCCTGGAGATATTCTATAGGTTGATAGGCTCCACCAAGAACTTCAAATATACTTGCGCACCGACAAGAGGCAGGAACATACCCCTACTGCACATTATTCTTCGTTAGAAATTCCGATGAGGCGATGCACGAACCACCAGAGGTGACATAAAAACATGCCACCTTTTGACCTGATGCGCAGTAGTACCACACTGAATTGATCAATGATCATCACAGTTAGATAAATCCCAACTGGAGCAGTCTCTTGTGAACAACCTCTTGATTGTGTGCTACAAGTCTACAAGTGTCCTGATGCTAAAACAGAGTTCAAAACTGAGCAGAGTAAGTGCTGCTTCATGGTTAGTTAACATAATTGACGGCGCAATGTTTCCATTACCACCCCCGAGTAACAAGTGAACTTACTATATGAAAATTACCGTAGAAGAATTGTTCTATAGTTCCGGGCTTAAAAAAAAGCATTTTTCTGCTACTATGTTAAGCTCTAGAGCAGAGCTGCATGACATTGTTCTAATGTTAAGTTTCAACGTAGCATCAATATTTCAACAAAAAGATTTTGGTCGGGTCTCACCAAAAAAATACTATATAGCATGCTGTGCTAGCAGTTTATAGACGTTCCTTCCAAAATTAGGGTTGATGGATACAGTAGGACTAGCCGGACAACTATTGCTCCATCGCACGAAGAGCTGCCTTTCTGCATGCCATGTGACTTGTGTTCTGTGATGTGTATTAATACCCTGAACTTTTGCGCCTTCTTCCTTTTGTGAAAATGATGTGTAGAAAGAAGAAGCCCTCATTTCTGGACATGCAACCTGATGGCTCAGTGTTTGGAGGCGATTGCTGGGGAGGCTCAGTGGATGTATCTCGGCAGGTAAGTAGCCAGGTAGGCACGTACAACTTCGTGTGGATGCCAAGGACCGAGGCCTGATGACTGAAAGTGAAACATTCATCATATAATGTGATGGCATTTCGCATCGGCTTCTGTTGTGGGACGATATTTGATGTCCATTTCCATTCGTTTATCGATTTTGGCGGTGCCATCAGAAGTGGCCAGATTGTCTGGGGCCTGTTTGGAACATAATAATTTCACAGGAGACACAAAAAGCCCTCCAAAATCCGCACGCAAATCATTCATTCCCTATAAGAGGTCTAAGGCTACCAGATCAATGATTTCGCAATTTGGATGGACAAAGGAAACTGTGGTACAGTTACCTTACAATTATTTGTTGTTGATGTTTGAAAAGACTTTTGTTATCGATATGACTTCTATTAAGAACCTAATGTGCGAGCATGTCCTAAATGGATTCGAAAGTGAAAAGTGGACACAAATCTAAAGTTTCCTAGTCTCCTAGATAGTGTAGAATCTACTGAATAATGAACAGGCTGCAGACTCCTCGTGAATAAGTGTCCTGAAGTTGTCCCACCATTTCTCGGTCTGAATCTGGAAAGAGCCCTTTTTCCTGCCAAGCCAGTACTTATCATGCCAGGTGATCATCTCAGGTCTCCCATGCCATGATAAAGTACCCCTTTTGTCTTTGAATTTTCCTTGGCCTAATTATTCCAGTTACTTGGGTGCCACAGGAAATCATAATGATATACTTCTAATTATCATGTATGTACCCCCTCGCATCGCCACAGGAACTCCCTCTCTTGATGCACCGTACGTATACATGGCAAGGCTGCGTGCCGATCCAGTCAGCGATGAGATCGGAGTGCAGGGAGTTCTAATGAAAACCGTGCCGACTTAGGTCATGGAGGACGACGACGACGTCTCCGATGTCGTTTCCTTGTTAAGACATCGTCGTTGCAGGTTGCGTCACCACACTCGGGATGTTTCGGGGGAAACCTTAGATCTGGGTCTCCCGAATCAGATGATGACGACATCTATCTTCGATACAATGCTCCCTCCTGGGGGCATCATTTTGGAGCAGGTGTTGGCTAAAGGGAACAATAGGTGGAGCAGTGTTGCATCTTCAACATTAACGACAGGCGGTCTCGGTGACATAGCGCAATTGGGTCTCGATGCTGGACGCGTGTTGATGGGCGCGCGCAAGAGGGTGGCACTGTCTGGCGCCATGGTGGTGTCGACAGCAGAAGGGTTTGGCAAGGTCAGTGCATGGGTCACTCCTGAAGATGGAACGGCGGAAGATGGCAGCGACAGAGTATAAAGCGTGCGCATGTGGTGCGTGTTGTGGGTCTGCTAGACCGGTTGGTGCTCCTGGCTAGCCGGCGGGTGGCTTGGTTTGCCCACCGAATTACTTGATCTGCGTTGGCGCGAGGTCAAGGCACATCATCAAGCTTGGGTGCCATGGGCATTAAGTGACATAGGAGTAGTCGCCCACTGGGTAAAAAAAATGCTTATGATCTCACAATGCTTCTTTTAGGGTATGATCTCACGATGTAATTGTCACTCTTATGATACTTTGGTAAACAGATTCAAATGATTTAATTGACTACAATGGTTGGTCATCTTTTGGTTTTTTATTTACCAGAAATTATAAGTTTATTTGCAGTATGTACGTAGAATCCAAGCATCAGCCTCCTTGTAAGCACAACAATGTAGATGAAAGACAGAAAAACTCTGATGAATGTTTTCTTTCCTATGTAATAATCCGATACACCATGAACGTGAGAAACAAACGTTTCTTAAAGACACTGACTAAAACAGTGGAGGTTTGATAGCAAGGCCATGAACAAAACAACAGCGAGTTGTTTTATAGCACACACCTTAACTAATTATCTTTTCAGAGAGCAGGGAAGCTTGCCAAATCTGTGTTGATTACCCCAGCATCTTCAGCTCATGAATACGTAACCAGTCGTCTCAACTTGCAGCGAAGTCACAGACCACGAGTCTAATACATTTGGCACTTTGTGACCTGGTAAATTGCGAAATAATCCATCACTGCCTTGAGTATTTAATAACATATACAGCAGGATGATCGATGGTTCAGTTCAGATTAAAATTATTTACTTACCCTCTGCATAATGGTTGATTGTCTTGTTCTATAAGCAGGGAAACTTGGGGTTCAAGTTCCAGGCTTCCAACCCATCGGTGGTTTCTTGGCATACAGGGAAACTTGTGTTCCAAGTTCTAGGCTTCCAACCAATCGGTGGTTTTCTGAATTTAGTATCTCATTGGCATGCTGCAAACTGATGTAGTGTCATATGTCAACAGATTTTAATTAAAAAAAATGTCTGGATGGAAGTTTCAGGGACACTTCCCTGAAACCTCCAAACTCAGTATTAATTTATCCATGTGGTATACCATCAGAATGGGACTTCTCAGCTATATAACATCATTGAACGCTGGAGCGCCTCCTATTTCTGTGCATCCATTTGTTCAAGACATACGAGCTTGTTAAGTTCTAGCTTTACTTGTTGTAGAATAAGTACCAGAGAAATGGAGCCGCAGGAAGGAAGGAAAGGGATACCATCTCTGCTGTCCTCGCAGGGGGAGTGCATCGCCACCAACATCACACAGGTGCCTACTTTCTCTGTATATAGTCATTATTCCTTCACTGTACAAAGCTTGTTATCTTTAATCTGCAAGTAAATTCTATGCCTTCCAGCTCATTGGTTGGACACCACTGATAGAACTGAGAAACATCACTGAGAAAGACGGCATAGGTGCTCGGCTTATTGGGAAGATTGAGCCGTACCAGCCCCTTTCCTCTGTGAAGGATCGGAGTGCTCTCAGGTGGCTGCTCTTTTTACTCCCTTCCGAGGAAGACATTCTTCACCTCAAATGTACCATACACAACGTCACGAGTTTCGACAACAATATGAATGAATGAAACTTTTTGCAGATTGATCGAAGATGCAGAGGAGAAAGGCTTGATCACACCTGGCATCACAACGCTGCTGGGGGTCACGAGTGGTAATCTCGGCATCGGCGTGGCGTTCATTGCTGCTCAGAAAGGATACAAGTTCATCGCCCTCATGCCTGCTAAACTCTCGCTTGATAAGCAGATACTAATGCGATTCCTTGGCGTAGAAGTGGTATTAGTTGGTAAGGACCTGAGGTACCATGACCCTCATATCACGTGCCAGATGGTAACATCCTTGTCTCCTGCAGATGCTGTACAGCATGGATTCAAAGCTTTACTCGATAGGGTAGAACAGATGAAGAAGGATGTGGAAGATGTGTATGTTCTAGATCAATTCACCAACCCTGCAAATCCCGATGCCCACTTCAGATGGACTGGTAAGTGGTAACACAATCTATTTGAACTAAATTGGATGCAGTAGCAGTAGCGTTTGAGTAACTTTAGATTGTTTGACTATAAGGCCCAAAACTCAGTCGAAGACTATGAACTGACTAACTTATAAGATGTTGAAATAAATTGATGGATGATATGCAATAAATGTTGCTATGTGGTGTTGGCCTCTGCAGGATCACACTTCCATGCAACGTTCTACTCTTTATTTGTATTTTATTTTATTTTTGAGATTCCTGACTAAAAAAAGAACCTCGGCACTAATGCATCGAACTAAATATGTCCTTAGGACCTGAGATATGGAAAGATACAGCAGGCAAAGTGGACATATTTATAGCTGCTTCAGGTTCAGGCGGCACCATCACAGGCGTGGGGAGGTATCTCAAGACGAAGAACCCATTTGTAAAATTAATATGCGTTGAACCAGCTGAAAGTCCAGTGATTTCAGGCAAGAAACTACTACTACTATGATAAATATATTGAATAAATGATACTCCTGCTAGACATGCTTGGCTATGCTCATCAGTAACCTGGCTACCTTTCTTGGATTGTAACTCAGTAAGACCTTCCCTGCCTATGATCTGTAGGTGGCGAGCCAGCCTTCCACAACATCCTAGGAATAGGGCCAGGTTTTGTCCCAGAAATACTGGATAGATCCCAGATAGATGAAATTGTAACAGTAACTACTCAAGAAGCTATGGACATGGCTAGAAGGTTGGCAAGGGAAGAAGGGTTGCTTGTTGGCATATCTTCAGGCGCAAATGCAGCCGCCTGCTTAAAGGCAAGCTCTCTTTTTCAACAGTCTAGGATCTTTTCTCATTTGCAGATGCTACAGTGAATGCTATATAAATCCACTTATTATGCAGTCCTCTGATTCGGGTACTTCCTCATAGGTTGCATCAAGAGAGGAGAACAGGGGAAAGATGATTGTGACAATGTTTTCCAGTGGTGCAGAGAGGTATCTGAATTCAGAGCTCTTTGCGCAGGTGAAGGAAGAGTGCGTCAACATCAACATGACCTTCTGATGTTCAGGTCGAGGCAATGACAGCTTAGGGATGATCCAGAAGGGTAGTCTTATCATAATACCAGATACTGTTTAATAATTAAGAGATGAAAGAAAACACGCTAGTGTCATAAGTACAAACCATATGGTTGCAGGTTACAGAGGATAGCGGTATAATACTATGGTTGAGGAATCACCTCAAACACACTATGGTTGATCCATCATGAGCCCTCATTTGTACTAGCCTTACGCTTGTATGAAGGATGACATGGTGATATAGACCAACCCATTGCATTCCTCGAAGTGAGTTAAGTTCAGAGCTAGAATCTCATGGTCCATTCGGTATTAATTACTAAAACCAAACACCCATACTTGTCCATCACCATACTGTTGATATAAAAGAAACATTTTTTTGCAGTATAAAACAAATCAAATTTACTGAGACATCCAGTTAACCTTCTGGTATTCTGCCCAACATGCAACGACGAGGGTGACCCTAACTGTCACATGACCTAGCATGGTTACATAGTTCCAACTTCCATGGCTGGGATCACTTGAAGCAGGGCCGTCCTCAGAAATTGGGGGCCCTGCGCGTCTGCAATTAGGCCCTAAGTATGGAAAAGGTAGTTGTAGCTGTGTGCATCGCAATGATGCAGAGGCCAGGGATTAAGCCTCCTTTTCGGGAAAAAGAGAAAAATTATTTATCATGCTAGTAATACAATTTTATGCAAGAATTATATCTTGCCAAAAGGCAACTCTTCGAACCCTTAATAATTACTCCCTCTGTAAACAAATATAAGATGTTTTCAGAGGGAGTACTAAACTAATTTTTACTTGAAAAGCGGCATCCTTCTGGCATTTAATTACACAGTTTCTTCCACCTAGTTGCTGCAATTGTCAACTGGGAATAGAGGAAATAATACCAGGCGAGTTCGACGGATATCCATGAAAGAATAGGGCAACATTATTGCTAATGTGATTCTCTAAGAGCAACTCCATCAGGGCCCCTAAACACAGCCCCCAAACAGTTTTGGGGGGCTAAGGCCAAAAAATCGGCTCCAGCAAGGCCCCTACTGTTTGAAAGGAGGTTAAACCAAAAATTCAGCTTCGGCAGGACCCCTACTGTTTGAAGGAAGATGCCGGATGAGTCCAGGAATAACAAAAAGCTTTCATCTCCTGTTTGAAAGGAATCTCGACTAGTCTTATGAAGAGAGGAGGAAACCTTGAGTAGTGTGGCCAGGAGACCTGCTGGTCAAGCGAGTACTCCAAAATGTGTGGATGCCCCCCCACCCCACCGTGGCCCATCTTCTTTATTGACGCGTCAATGGCGGGCTTACGCCTGCCTGAACATATATTAATAATCACCAGCCAATTAGAAAAGCAGAGTAGAGATACAAAGAGGGGGGAGGGGGCTACAAGGACAGGGTGATAATTAAGCTAAAATCTCGCAGTGATACAACATGGAGCCCGAGTCCCTCTCTAACCAGAGCCCCGTGAGTTCCTCTTCCTTCCAACCAAAATCCAGCTTCTTCCTGTTCTTTACAACAATACTGGTATTTCTGCTGCCCAAATCTTGCCTATACAGTGCACAAACCAATCTGGTGATGAACTCCAAATCCTACTGGGACCAAAAATCCATGGATTCCTCTTGCTTTCAACCAAAATGCTCCAGCTTCTTCCTGTTATTCACAATACTGCTGTCTCTGCTGCCCAGATCTTCTTGCCTACAGTTCACAAACCAATCTGGTGATGAACACCAAATCCTCCTGGGACTCGAGAGATATTGGGGGAGATCACCTGTGCTTGGCAGATGGACCTCACTTCTTCTAACCACTGTAAATGGGGAGGAGTTACATGCAAAGATGGTTTGGTCACTGCCATTTCCCTTCCACGGCAAACCTTTAGGAAACCAATCCCACCGTCCCTTTGCCTCCTCAAGAATCTTACCTACTTGGACCTCTCCTACAATAACTTCTCCACTTCATTCCCTACCATACTCTACAATTGCTCCAATCTGAAGTACCTAGACCTTTCCAACAATGCCTTTGGTGGGAAACTCGCAGCTGACATAAACAGTTTATCAGCAAAGCTCGAGCATCTCAACTTATCAAGCAATCGTATCATGGGGGAAATTCCACCATCGATTGGATGGTTTCCAAAGCTCAAGTCGCTGCTCCTCGACACCAACCAGTTTGACGGAAGTTATCCAGCAAAGGACATCAGCAATCTGGCCAACCTCGAGGTGCTGACACTAGCGGAAAATCCATTTCTGCCAGCTCCATTTCAAGTTGAGCTTGGCAAGTTGACACGCCTCACATACTTGTGGCTGTCAGGTATGAACATGACAGGTGAGATCCCTGAGAGCCTGTCAAGCCTCACAGAGCTCAGTCTGTTGAGTGTGTCAAATAATATGCTGCAAGGCACAATTCCGACATGGGTATGGCAGCATAAGAAGCTTCAGTACTTGTACATGTTTGCCAACAGTTTCACAGGCGAGATTTCCTCCAGTGTCACCGCCGTAAACTTGGTAGAGCTTGATGTGTCCTCAAACAATCTGACAGGGACAATACCAGATGACTTTGGTAGGCTCATCAACCTTACCATGTTGTTTCTCTACACGAATCAACTTCATGGGTCAATACCGCCAAGCATTGGGTTGCTGCCGAATCTCAGCGATATACGGCTATTTGAGGACATGTTATCTGGTTCCCTTCCACCAGAGCTTGGTAAGCACTCACCACTAGGTAATCTTGAGGTCTGCAACAATAACCTCTCGGGCGAGCTGCCAGCTGATCTTTGCTCCAACAGGAAGTTATATGACATCGTTGTGTTCAATAATAACTTTTATGGAAAGCTTCCACAATCGCTAGACGGCTGCTACCGGTTGAACAATTTAATGCTGTACAACAATCATTTTACTGGAGAGTTCCCCAAGAGCATCTGGTCAGTGGTGACAAATGAGCTAACGACAGTTATGATCCAAAACAACAATTTCTCTGGGACCTTTCCTACCCAGCTTCCATGGAACTTTACACGTCTTGAGATGAGCAATAATAGATTCTCTGGTCCCATTCCGACTTTAGCAGGCAAAATCGAAGTATTCAGGGCAGCAAACAACTCTCTTTGTGGCGAAATTCCCTGGAATTTGATGGGTATTTCACAGGTAACAGAACTTGACCTTTCTGGAAATCAAATTACTGGATCAATACCCATGACAATTGGAGTGCTAAAGCTCAATGCACTTAATCTAAGTGGAAATCAGATATCTGGTACTATACCTGCAGCGTTTGGATTTACGTCAGGGCTAACCATCCTTGACCTCTCCTCGAATGCGCTATCTGGCGAGATCCCAAAAGCGATCAATAAGTTGAAACTGAACTTTCTAAACCTCTCCATGAATCAACTCACGGGGGAAATTCCAACATCATTGCAAAACGAAGCATATGAGCGAAGCTTCCTCTTCAATCCAGGCCTCTGTGTCTCATCGAATAATTCCATCCCTAATTTCCCGATTTGCAGTGCAAGAGCAAATAACAACAATGATATCTCCAGGAGGCTTATAGCCCTCTTTCTTGTTCTTGCCAGTATCATGCTTGTGGGTTCGGCAGTTGGTGGTTTCTTGCTATTAAAGAGGCAAAAGAATACCCAAGATCCTCTATCATGGAAGCTGACCCAGTTCCATGCACTGCATTTCACAGAGTATGATGTTCTTTCTGGGCTCTGTGAGCAGAACTGGATTGGAAGTGGCAGGTCTGGCAAGGTGTACCGAATTAGTGTTGTGGATGGAGAAGGTGGTAGTAGAATGGTGGCTGTTAAAAAGATATGGAACGCCCAGAACCTTGACAGCAAGCTCGAGAAGGACTTCCTTGCAGAGGTCCAGATATTGGGTGAGATCCGGCACATAAACATTGTCAAGCTGCTCTGCTGCATCTCAAGCTCAGAGGCAAAGCTTCTTGTCTATGAGTACATGGAAAATGGTAGCTTAGACAGGTGGCTCCATCAGAGGGATAGAGTTGGTTCACTGGCACCTTTGGATTGGCCCACCAGATTGCAAATTGCCATCGACTCGGCAAGAGGTCTCTGCTATATGCACCATGATAGTTCACCCGCCATAGTGCACTGTGATGTTGGTAGAATCAAGTACTCTACCAGGTCTAGGGCATAGGTGGTAAGGGAAGGATGGAGGGGGACGTGGCGAGGAACGGGCGCGCCGGCGGCAGGGCGCCGTCGCGAGCTAGGAGAAGGGTGGCGGCGGTTAGGGCTGTTGGCGGCTAGGGTTTCCGGCTCCTCAGGGAGCCGGACAATAGGAGATAATATTCTTCTTATTGCCTGATCTGAAAAAAGTCTTACAATTTATATTTATAACCTAGATAACTTGCACATGAATTAACCTAAGATAACCTGTGGGCTAAGATTGCCCGATGGGCCTTCCATATGACAGGCCGGACATAACACTTCTCCCCGTCTGCACAAACAGCTCGTCCTCGAGCTGTAAGGTGGGGAAGCGCTTGCTTGAACTCCTCGAGGTAATCAACCAGCGTCAAACACCTTCTCGACATCTGGGGCGGCCAGGTCGGCGGCGACGGCGTCCTCCGGAATGTAGTCTGCCACCTCCAGGTAGAAGAGTCGCGGGCAGGCGTGGCCGGGCTTGTAGGGTTCGTTGCAGTTGAAGCACAACCCTTGGCGGCGACGCTCGATATCTCAGCTGGGATGAGCCGGCGGAACGGGCGCCCCGCGGTCGCGGCGAGGGGTGCCGCAGAAGCCTGCACAGGCCGACCCTGCGCGGAATCCGGTCCGGGTAGCGACCCGGCAGTCTGGGACGGTGATTCCTGCTGGATGGCCACCGCGCGGCGCTCGAACGCGCGGGCGTAATACATGGCCGACTGGAGATCCTGGGTGGTCCGGCAGACCGCCCACAAATAACTCGGCGCGCTGGGTTGCGGAGACGCCCGGCGCGTGGCACGCCAGGGCCTGGAAGCGGTCGGCGTAGTCCTGCACCGTGGATGTGAAAGATAAGCGGCCGAGGGCCGCCAATCGGCTCCCGCGGATAGGAGGCCCGAACCGGAGGAGACAGAGCTCCCGGAAGCGCTCCCATGGTGGCATGCCGCCCTCGTCCTGCTCGAGGGCGTAGTACTAGGTCTGCGCCGCGCCTCGGAGATGATAGGACGCGAGCCAGGTACGATCCGAAGCGAGCGTCCGCTGCCCTCGAAAGAACTGCTCGCACTGGTTGAGCCAGTTGAGGGGGTCCTCCGTGCCCTCGTAAGTGGCGAAGTCCAGTTTGGCGAATCAAGGGGGTGTTGGCCCACCGTGCCCGGGGGCGGCCGCAGTCGCCGCCAGCGCGTATGCTGGGTCGGGAAGCACTGGGGCGTAGTTCGCCGAGCTGGAGGGGTGATCAAACCGCAGAGAGGGCGTCGGGTGTTCCGGCGCCGTGGAGTAGACCGGGCCCGGAGACGAGCCGGTCGCCCAAGCGGGGATCGGCGATGGTGACGGTGGAAACTGCACCTGGTGCAGGGGCCGACCCGTAGCCCTAGGCGCGGGTGGTGGTAATGTCGATGGCGGCGGCGCCTGGTGGATCTGCTGCACCGGCGCCTGCGGCGTGGGGGCCGGCGGTGACGCCGGAAGAAGCTGCTGGGTCTGGCCCCCCAGCGGTGCGGTGGAGGCTGGCCATGCTGGCCATGGCTGTCCCGCAGCCGAGTAGTGCGGCAGCAGCGGCGGCGGCTGGGACGCCCCTCCGTAGGGCGCCTGGAAGGCCGGGGTGGGCCACTGTAGCGGCGGCGGCCCGTAGGCGGTGGTGCTCGGTGGCGGGGGCTGGTTCCCGGCGAGGTAGAGGGTAATACCCCTGACCGCCTGGACAAGCTCCCGCAGGGTGCCCGACATCTCCTCGGGCGAGAGGAGCGGAGGCGGGTCCGCCGTGATGGTGATGGGCGCGGTGGTGATGGTGGTGCCGGATGCGATCTCCGCCATCGCGGTGGCAGTGGCCGGCGGCAGCGAGAGCGGGGTGGAGGTGGATGGTAGCGGCGGTGATGGAGATTGTGACATGATCGGCCTGGTGTCTCTGGATACCAAATTGGTAGAATCAAGTACTCTACCAGGTCTAGGGCGTAGGTGGTAAGGGAAGGATGGAGGGGGACGTGGCGAGGAACGGGCGCGCCGGCGGCAGGGCGCCGTCGCGAGCTAGGAGAAGGGTGGCGGCGGTAGGGCTGTTGGCGGCTAGGGTTTCCGGCTCCTCAGGGAGCCGGGCAATAGGAGATAATATTCTTCTTATTGCCTGATCTGAAAAGAGTCTTACAATTTATATTTATAACCTAGATAACTTGCACACGGATTAACCTAAGATAACTTGTGGGCTAAGATTGCCCGAAGGGCCTTCCATATGACAGGCCGGACATAACAGATGTCAAGTCTGCCAATATCCTTCTGGACCCCGAGTTCAGAGCAAAGATAGCTGACTTCGGGCTTGCTCGGATTCTTCTCAAAACCGGAGATCCTGAGTCAATTTCTGGCATAGGTGGTACCTTTGGCTACATGGCACCAGGTAAGAAATAGAAATGCAGACTCAAACTAGTATATATTTAGGATGTACCATGTGCTAATCGCAGACTAGCTTTTTTGCAGAGTACGGATACCGGCTTAAGGTGAATGAGAAGGTCGATGTCTACAGCTTCGGAGTGGTCCTGTTGGAGCTCACAACGGGGAGGGTGGCAAATGATGGAGGCTTGGAGTACTGCTTGGCAGAATGGGCATGGAGACAGTATCAAGAGTATGGCCTGTCAATTGATCTTCTTGATGAAGACATTCGAGATCCAGCCAACATTGAAGATGCATTCGCAGTGTTTACGCTAGGTGTGATCTGTACAGGTGGGCAGCCTTCAGTGCGGCCATCAATGAAGGATGTGCTGTACGCTCTTCTCCGGTTTGAACATAAATCCAGGGAAAGAAGCCCGCAGCATGTTGTCTCTGAAGAAATGTCACTTCTAGAATCCTAGACTAACTGAAGACGTAGAGGAATAACGATATTCCAGTTGATGGAGTATAATATATAGAATTTCCGGGTGCAAATGATGTACTAGGTGATTTTCTGTTACCTTATCCATTTTGTG